ACAATCAAAGATTTAAAAAAGGTTGTTTAGTCAAAATGGTCCTTGAGATTTGCATAACTCCTTATATTAGTCATTGAGATTTGAAATCTATAGAATTGATCCCTGAGTTTGTCCACAATCAATCATTTTGGTCATTCTGTGAAAAATCTCCATAAAATAAGGATTAAATGACAAAAGTACCCTCAACTTTTGTCAAATCATTTTGACTTATTGTTTATTATATTGACGGTAATTTTGTCATTTGGATCCTTATTTAACATAATTTTTCACCGAAGGACAAAATTTTTTATGGTGGACAATCTCAGGAATCACTTCTATTGATTTCAAATCTCAAGGACCAAAATGAGGAGTTCGGCAAATCTCAGGGACCATTTTGGCTAAAAAGCCTTTTAAAAAAATGAGAAAGTTCATATGTTGTAAAAACAGAAAAGTTTGCAGCATACTTGTTTATCGAACAAGCAACCAGAGCTTTTCCAAATTACAAATTTTATGCCCATTTCATATAGGGAATTGTTATACGCCCCCAATCTAATAATATAAATCTTTACATTATAGGAGAAAGAAAAATGAAAAAAGAAAAACCTAAACCCACCACCCATTTTGACTCAAATATCTCACGATAATATGTAACGAAAATATTATACACTACTTTGCCAACCTTAAGCATGTTACATTCAATGATGTTTATCAAAATATTCGGTGTTGTTTGTGGTAACCAAATTTCACCGGCCCCATAAGAGACACCATGTGTACTAAAGCAAGCCAAGATGACAAAATTATCTCTAGAGTTTCACCAATACTTAACCCTTACATACGTTGAAAACTAATGCAATGGAGGGATGTCTATTAGTAAATCACACCCAGTAGAACCGGTACCTTTGCCAGGACAACATGTTCTTCATGCCAGACAAGATGGACTACCATGAAACGATGCGCTTGGCCACACCCGCTCAGCAGAGAATATGAGCTTAGTTAGCCATGTAAGGCCCAATGAAGGATCTTGTGAGCCTTGTTGGACTCACAAGCGAGATTAGCCCATAAGGGATGGATAATGCAAGATTCAACAAGATCTCCAAGGCACAGTCATCCTTATAATCATTGCTTAGAGATAGGTCACCATCACCAATGTTGTTAGGATTCATCCCATGGTCAACCGTTGTTAGCTACATGGGTGAGACTATGTGGAGTTCAAACCAACCATTTAGGGAGCGTCATATGTGTCCTAATGAAGTATGATCATTTCCATTAAAAGGTAGCTATTCTATAGCCTAGAAACATAAAGCTTGAGATTCATTCTTCTGACAGTTAAGTATAACTTAGGTGTTGGAACCAAATTTACACACCGCAGTGAATGGTGGTTGAGCACAAACTTGAGCAACCAGCAAAACAATAACCAACCGTATGCAAGTTTGAGACAAACGGAGGAGTGTGTGTCGGCCAAAGGCTCTACAATGGTTAAGCTAGTGAATGATTTTAGACTCAAGCAGTGGGCAAGAGAATTGAATATTTAGATTGCATTATCATAGATGAACCCTAGATGGGTGTATTTATACCATGGGGAGAGAGACATTTTAGGATAGAATTCTCATTCTAAGCTAGAAGAATCCTAGAGGATATCTAGGAGTAGATATTGCATCCTTTTCGGAGTTATGATTACTTGCAGCGCATCCCAATTCCTAGATTGTATGAACTCCAAAACTTATAGGATCTGATTGTGTCCATATCTGGATCAGATTGCTAAGCATGGTCATCCAACGGAGCCGTCAGGACTCCATCTATTGCCTCGGAGTAGAGTGATGGTGGCACCGCTACTTTGTCTGATACAACTCTACCCAAAGCTGGTGAGTCCTTGACTTGACTTTTGAGGTAGTAATATTTGGATCAACCTTACTCTGGCATGGAAAATCATGGTCCCATGCCCCTAACTATTCGTTTGAGAAGCAACCTATTCCCCTTGAGGATTGATTGTTATCCAAAGATTATGTATGTTGAAGTAAGTTGGAATACATACCCTTTGGTCTTCAAATTCTTGCAAACGTCATAATTTAGTGTTGAATTAGCCATTTACATGAGTCGAACCTAAAAATTATTATTTACAAATGAAGAGAAAAATCACTAGATTGTAGTAGTAAATAAGTCGCTCGCATTGATTGTGCAACGAAATGCTAATCAAATGAGATGGGTTTGGCTCAATCTCATATAGGCCTTACTGGCCCATAAAGCCCATTTAAGGCCCAAATGTTTTTGGTCTACGAAGAGGAAATTAATCGATAGATTTTGGGACTTGGTTTAGGAGACGGGTTGGGGTTTTCGAAACGGGTCATCCAGCTCGGTGAATTGCATATGAATGCTTAAACCCCAAGACCCAAACCCAAACCCTGCATCTTCTTCTGAGGCTCGTTTGTGCTTATCTCAACTTTGCAGTCTTTCTTCTCCTTTTAGCTTCAGAAGGTTAGAATCTGGGATTCATAAATTAGTTTGGATATTGGAATGAGGTTGTATGTACCATCAACTTTTAAATCCTTGTGGAATTAAATTGTATAAATATTTGGGTGTTTGATCAGACGTCACAATGGATAGAAAGGCTCGTGACAGTGACAAGGAGTTCAACTTGTCAATTCTGTTATTGGGTTTTGGTAATCATTCGGTTTTGTTTTGGTGATTTTGTTGTTATTTGATGGTTTGTGATGTAGATGGAGCAAGAAGAGGATGACTTTGATGATGAGCAGGCGAGGAGGAAGAAGATGGAGGAGAAGTGGGGGAAGAGGAAAATGGTGATTGGCAAAACGATAATAAAGATGCCGAGATGGAAGAACTCGAGAAAAAATACATCAATCTTCGTTATCAGGAGCAGTAAGAGACTTTTGTTCACAATCCTTTTATGCTTAATTATAAACTTGTGATATATTAGGTTACAGAAGTCATTGAATAATATAATAGTCCGCCAGTGTAGCTATAGAAATTGAATATTAGTGCCATTTTCATCTTAGCTCGACGCAAAGTTTCAGTATCTATTTAATTTAGTTATTATGAAAGCACAAAGTGGAGTTATATATAGGCTAACATGAAGTTAATTTTGTTCTTCGTTTCTTCCCTCTTCCCATGCAGAGATATTTTAAAGAATCTAAAGCGTCATAAGGACGAAGATCTTAAAGGTCAAGTAGTAAAGAACCAAAAGGTGTGTGTTGTTCAAAATAATAGCTCTTGTAATATCCATGAAATAGATTACCACAGGTCGCTTTAGCTTTTCCCTTTTTTTGTAACTTTTTGACATGTTAAGATGTTATCTTCTTACCTGAGAGGTTGTCTGCAGGAGCCAGTTTGGTCTTTATTTTGTGATTCACATGAAGGCGTCAATGCAGCATATTCTGATCTAGTCGACTCATCAAAGAGAACTTTGGATTCTTGAGCAGAACTACAAGAAGTATGACTGTCATAAAAATTTGTTGCCTACCTATTACTACTTGGTCTGTAGTTTAGCTTCATACCTTGCGGTAATATGAAAAGTACTTTATACATTATTGTGATTTGTTGATATTGCCATTTGTATATGCTAACATTTATCGCATCATGCTATATTTCTTGTTACAGGTTTTCGTTGGGAAGAACCCTTCTTCCATCTTTCAAGCAACAGATAGTATGTGCAAACTACATTTATCAAACAATTATATTTATTTTGTAATATAATTTGGCTCTCCGTTGTCAAACTATCATTTTCACATATGATAGCAATAAACCTACCAACCCCATTTATCAAATAACATGATATTTATTTTGTAATAAATATCATTTTCAAATAACATGATGCGTAATATAAATAACATGATTTTTTTTTTTTGTCAAACGATAGATTTTGTTCGATTAGATGATATATATTATTTTAATATCTTTTGATTCAAATTATAAGAGTAAAAGAATGCATAAAATTAGGAAATTAATTTTGTAAATATGGGTAAAATAGAAAAAAAAAAGAATTGAAAATTTAAATTCTTCGAGTTGGTGATATGGATAAGTAGGTTTTGTTTTTTTTTTTTTTCCAACATTTCGTATAGTTGATTGATTCTATATTAAACACCCCTCTAAAAAGGACCAAGCTACTTAAGCCAAATTCACTTTAAGTTACTAAGAGCATTTTTCAGGAGATGCAGTAAAATAACAAAATTCTATTTTAATTAGTCAAATTAAAAAAAATAAAAAAAAATAAAAAAATAAAAAAAAACCACACACACACACATCTCCAACAAACTCTATAAAAGAGTTTCTATTACAGCAAAATGAACAGTCACTCTTTAAATTTACTTAGCAACAGTTTATCAGCTAAATATTAACAAAATAATAAAACTCAAGGGTGGAATCTTGAGCAAGAAGAAAATGAAGATAGTTAAGACTCTTTTAGAAAATGAGTTGGTTGAGTTTGAATTGTTAATAATAAAATATTTAAAATTTGATAAAATATAGAGTGGTGTTGGAGATAAAAAAAATTAAATTAGGTAGCTAAATAGTTTTTTGTAATTTACCCTTACTAATTTAACAAAAATTTAGACAATCAAACTGACACACTCCGACCGGAATCAAGGCGTGTGGCAGCAAGAGAAAAGAGGGAGAGTTTCAGGAGGAAAAAGGAGGGGAGATGGTGGCGAATCGGGTGAGGAAAGAGGAAGAAGGACGGCCAATCAGGGGGGGAGAACAAGGAGAGAAAGGAGAGGGGTGAGGAGCACCAAAATCGGAATTCCGAAGTTAAGCGAGTAGCGCATGAGAGCACTCCCATGATGGGTGACCCACTGGGAAGTTCTCATGTGAGTTCCCAGAAACAAAACTGTGAGGGCGTGGTCGGGGCCCAAAACGGACAATATCGTGCTACGGTGGTGGAGCGGGTCCAGGATGTGGTGAGGACCCGGACCTGGATGTGACACAAATGGTCTGGATTTAAGGCTATCCTTGGGCCGACCTAGGATCCAGCCCAATATACAGTTTGGTCCACCTACCGTGTCAATTTCTTGGGAATACGTTTCCTCAAGTCTTTTCCAATTACCAGGTGAGAAAATCACAGTGAAACAGAGAGAGAGAGAGAGAGAGAGAGAGAGAGAGAGAGAGAGATGGCAGGAACAGAGGAATTTGTGGAAGCAGATAATGCAGAGGCCATAACTAATAAAATCGAACAAAAATCTCGAAAGATCGAGAGCTTACTCAAACAGTATCACTCCAAATCCTTTCCCCATTTTTACATACAATTTTCTGTAAAACCCCTTAATGATTTGAAAGTTCTCCAAAAACCGTAAATGTTTAATCCGTTTTTCATCTAGGTACAAGACAGTCGAAGCTATAAAAACTGCTCTTGAAGGCTCGCCTCTCAAGACCAAGGACGAGCGCTACAAGGTTTGTCTTTTCTCTTTTGCTAATCTTCTGTTTTTTTGCCGAGAAAATCAGTCGATGGAATAGAAAATTGAATTGCAAGTTTAGAACTTTATTCTTCTTTTCTTATCGTTTTTCCAGTGGTTTTCTTGGGTACCAATCAGAATTGTCCCCCTGTGTTTAATTATAATTCAATTGGTCTGTTTGATGTGGAATGAAAGAAAGTGATGAAATTTATTTTTTTGAGTTTTGCAAATTGGATAATGGTGCATAGAGCTATCATGGCTATAAAAGATGTGGATGCAATGTTTTCTTCTTTGGATCCCGAGTACCATGACATTCTCATGAAGTAAGTAATTATACCTTATGAATGCTGTCTGATTTTGGTTTCGAGTATTTTACGTAATCTATTGAATTGAAATTTGAAATTTGTGTAGATAATGAACTGTGTTTCAGTTAAACCGGTCGATAATTTTCTCAAACGGAGAACAAAAGTAAGCATCTTGAGTTATAGAAATGAACAAAAGTAAGGACCTTGATAAAGAACTTGGAACAAAAGTAAGTATCTTGACTTATGCGCTGGTCGATAATAAGGTGTAGAAATGAAGATTAGTCGATAAAAAACTTAAAAGCGACATCATCTTCTGATAAGCTTTACTGAAATGCACGTGGTGTCGCTTTGGTTAACCTTGGTGTCGCTTTTAAGTGACACCATCTTCTAACTCGTGCAAAACAAGCGGGAAAGTTCTCGTCTAGTGCACCTCAAAATATCTGACCAATGCCATCGCCTAAAAGCGACAGAAAAATAGTTATTTTAAAAATAAAAAAAAAATTTTAACCTATGCAAAAAAAATAATGAGTTTTTTTTTTTTTTTTTTAGTATCTCATATAACATTTTAAGATTTTAATTAATAAATATATAATAAAAAACAAAAATATTGTGTAATTAATACTTAAAACACATAAAACAAATGTTATGGATGTTCCATGTCATCAACCGTTATGTCGTCGTTGTCGTCAGCATTGGCATAACTAGCGAACTGAGTAGGCAACGGTAATGAATAAAATACTTTATGTTATCTCATATAATATTTTAAAATTTTAATAAATAAAATGCGTAATAAAAAACAAAAATATAATTTTATGATAAAATATCATCACATACGAATTGAACCATAGTCTAATTAATACATAAAATAATTAATATATTTAGTCTAATTAATGAAAGTATAAATAAACTCTAAGTGTTAATGAATCTATCGTTTTGATGGGATACGCATCCTACGAAACTAATTTCAACGATCCAACCGTCAAACTTTTTTGTATATGCTTCGAGATCGCATATGCCAAAAATCACAAAAAACAAACATTCAGAGGTCAAGTAATAAGACAAAACTTTTTGACGGTTATAAATGAAAAATCATGATTTAACAGTTATTTTAACTCCGATTTTGATGATTTTGTACAGCTACACTCCTTGATCCTATATGAATACGATGAACTAATTTGATCGTCAATTTAAAATATTTACACAAGTGGATACCACAAAATCTTATGTCATAGTTAATGAAAGTATGAATAAACTATTAAGTGTTAGTGAATCTATTGTTTTCATGAGATACACATTCTATGAAACTAGTTTTAACAATCCAACCGTCAAACATGTTTGTATATACTTCGAGATCGTATATACCAAAAATTGAAAAAAAAAAAAAACATTCAAAGATCAAGTAACGAGACAAAACTTTCCGACGGTTATAAAACGAAAAATCACGATTTAACGGTTATTTTAACTCCGATTTTGATTATTTTTTATAGCTACACTCCTTGATCCTATATGAATACAATGAATGAATTTGATCTTCAATTTAAAATATTTACACTAGTGGATACCACAAAATCTTAAGTTATACTTAATGATAGTATAAATAAACTCTAAGTGTTGGTGAATCTATCATTTTGATGGGATACGTATCCTACGAAACTAATTTCAATGATCTAACCATCAAACTTGTTTATATATGCTTCAAGATCGCATATGCCAAAAATTGCAAAAAACAAACATTCAGAGATCAAGTAACGAGACAAAACTTTTCGACGGTTATAAACAAACAAATCACGATTTAATGGTTATTTTAATTCCGATTTTGATGATTTTTTACAGCTACACTCCTTGATCCTATATGAATACAATGAACTAATTTGATCGTCAATTTAAAATATTTACATAAGTGAATACCACAAAATCTTATGTCATGATGATCGATGAAAATTGAGGATTTTGAAAGGAATAACATGCAAGCTTTGAGTTCCATTGGCAAGGTTTAAACTTTTGAGAAAGACTTCACAACCTTGAAAACAAAAACTCTTTCATTTTGCATATCCTTGCACATTTAACATTTTGTAATAGAGTAGTAGTGTATGAATGTTTGTTTATTAGGCTCTTATTTTCGAGTGTAGATGTAGTACTTAAACAACAAATATGTTTTAATGTTTTGAAGTAATATTTATATGTCAATGTGTGGTATGTGCAAATTTAAGAAGAAAAAAAATATTAGTCTTAATGGGTCATAACGGGTTGCCTGTTAAAATAATGGGTGAGACACGATACAATCCGTTAAGATAACAGGTGTTACACGAAAACGATAAACACGATCCGTTTGCCAGGCCTAGTTGCGTGCTACCTCATAAACTCATCCTTAAGAAAGATGCAAGAGAGGAAGAAGAAAACACGGGGGATGGTATATAAAGACCATCAATCTGTCGCTTACAACCGACACCGGATTTCAAAATATTAAAAAAAAATAAAAGGAGAAATTAGGGTCTCATCCTTCTTTTTACTATTCTATTTATTAAAATCCTATTCTTTTTCAATATTTGATCAAGGTCCTATTAATAACATCTTTAATTATTTCAATAATAAAATATTTTTTTATTTCTAAATATATTCATTTAATGTTAAAAATGTTACAATTAGTATATATATATATATATATATATATATATATATATATATATAGTTATGACTAAATTTTTTATAATATATTTTTAGTTTTAGATTGTACCCATTTTTAATTTGTAATTCTTTTTTAATTTGTACCAATTTTCTTTTTAGTTTTAATTTGTACTCATATATTAATTTCTTTTTGTGCCTATATTTTTTAAAGTTTATTTGTATTTGTACCCATGTATTTTTCTTATTTGTACTTTTTTTTTTTGCTAAATGTACCCATGCTAATTATATGTACCTATTCATGTAAAACTTTTTATTTTGTTATATGTAGAATGTACCCTTTTTTTTATATAAAATTTATTCAATTTTTTTAATCCATTTTTAAACTTATATGGGTACATTCTTTTTTCTTTGATTTTAAAATGTATCCATGTCAAGTTTAATTGGAGAAATTTACTAATGTTATTAAGCCTAATATCTTTTTTTTTCTTTTTTTCTTTTTCTTTTTTTGATTTTGAAGAATGTACCCATGATTTGATACAATAATTTTTTTGGTTAATTTTGACGAATGTACCCATGTTTATATATATATAAACACACACAATAGTATATTTATATTTTAATATTTTTAATCCCACAAATTATGGTTTTTTATTTAAAATCTCATTTATACAAAGAACTAAAATTTCTAATTTTTAATTTAAAAAATATAGTAACGTACATAGAAATAAATTATCACATTGATTTCAGGGACCTCGATCAAAAATTAAAAACCAACAAAGTTTCAATCAAAGAATATTCATAGCTAAGGACCGCATCCAAAGTCTCCCAAAATAAAATCTATGTTGCTCAGGCTTTAAAATATTTAAAAACAATACCTTATGTCGCTTCAAAGCGACACCAATACTCTATGTCGTTTAAAAGCGACACTATTTTTTTTAAAGTGACACCATTATTTAAAAATTATTAAAATGTATGTCGGTTATAAGTAACATTAAATGTTTATGTCGGTTAAAAGCGACATAGACAGTTTATGACGCTTACAAGCGACAGTAAATCCGACGTCATGTTCAGTAGGTGTGGTAAATGTGAATAAAACGTAATTATTACTAATTATAAGCAATGTAATCAAACATACATAAAATGGTATGATCTAGTTTTATTCCTTTCTACAAAGCTCTTAGGTTCAACTCCTATGAAATACCAAGTTTGATACAAATTAATGACAGAAATACTCCAGCATATTTTGAGTTTTAAGTAATACTACTTAAACAGTTTAACACACCCATAAGCTGACTAATTCTAATTAGTCTGATGATGCAATTTGACACACCTCGACCCGGAATGTTTGCTAGGACCCGGAATCGAGCCGTGGTGGCCGACACCTGGAAGATGATGAAGGCATGAGTGTGATAATGTAATAAATGTGAATAAATTAAAATCTGAAAGTGGTTAAGTACACGAGTGCGCGGTGAGCGGGTCTGGACCCATTTCACGCGTGATACGGAGCATAAGTATAGTACAGTAAGGTAAGATAATTATTATACCATCATAAGAAGACATTTGTACTGAAAAGTGCCACAAATTCTCGTCGATACGAAACTTTACTGTTAGAACCTAGAAGGGTAAAAAAATAGAAAATGTGAGTAAGTGAGACAAAACTTTTCAAACCAATTTCAATTACCAAAGGCAATAGCCCCTCGCCGTAACACCTGTATAATTTTCCAAAAATAGAATACATATCTATCTCAATCCTAACACGGTATAACAAAGTCCACATGAATATCATGCCATAGATCCCAATAAACATATATATCTCATCCACATGTTAGTCGGAGTCACCTTACGTGACCTGTACGGCTAAATTAATATCTTATCAACCAATGCTA